CCATTATGTCAGCAGCCACCATAAAGACCCCTCTGCATCTTCACTGCACCAGGCTATGTTTACATGCCGTCAACTCAGGTGTCCTACAAAAAAAAAAAAAAAAGATTCAAACCTCACTTCATCCCTTAATGACTCTCCTCTTCCTTCTCTTGACTAAATAACACATTCAGTCCCAAATTTTTACATTTCTGAATTTATTTACCCAAGCCTGAAATATTTACCTCACTTCTCCATTTCAGAACTCCTGCCAATTGTGCTCAAATGTGTTCCAGAATTCTTTTGGAAGCCCCTCCCCCACAAACCTTTCACTTTTCAACATTTTACCAAAACCTCTCTAATATAGTATAATTGACTCATTATCCCAACATTTACTGATTACTACATAACTGGCTGTACAATAGAAATAAGGTACATCCCAGATCAAAGCATTTAAAACTTTTATTTACATTGAAAAAAATAATTTATGGCATTTAAAAAGCAGCTCAACAGACCTACATATCTGGGCTGTGAAGACACTTAACGCTGGGATGCACTCCTGCACGTGAACTGAGGACAGGAGGCCTCCTTGCCTCTAGGGGGCAGCAGTACTCCAGAGAAGAGACAACTTGGTATGCAAGAGAGTCATTTGAGTCCAGCACATAGCCCATTCAGGAACTATATCCTGGGCAAGCAATGCTCAGGGATCTAGCGGCACTGCGGCCAACGAGTCTGCGGCCCGTTCTGGGCAGGGACCCGAGCTCAGAGGCCTGTGGCTTCAGGCAAGGCCGTGCTTGCTGCTGGGGGGACAGGGCAGCCAGCCTGGCCTCCTGGAGCTCTCTGTAGGTGGGAGGGAGACATGTATCACATTTATCGAGACCAGGGGCGATTGTAGTATCTCTTACGGAGGGGGGCATTAGAGAGGCCATAAACCAATCAGAGGGGGCAACCAAATTGAATTGGTGACTGATTGGCCCCCAGGATGCCTCCTCCCTATCAGCTCTCAACCCCTGTGACCCCACCCCTCCATACAGCCCTGCTTGGGACAGACCTTTAACACATTCCTGGTAAGTCGTGCATCTGCTTGTTCCCTAACATACATTAGATGTGGTGTCACCCAAAAATACATACTGACTCTGCATTATAGAGTATGAAAACCAGAAGAGGAGAAAGGGTTTCTTTCGAGGATGCAAATCAGAATCACAAAAGTACTGCCCGAGTTCATAATATTTGCCCTAACCAAAGCTTATTAGACCCTGAAAAGTAAATTTGTCAGGAATTTTTTAACACTCGCCCATGCAGGCTATTAACAGACTGCACCTCTCCAACATAGCCGTCCGGAACTTCTCCACGTTGAGCTCCTTGCGCAGCTGATCTGCGACAGTTGCGGTTCCTTCCTTACGCAACAGTGGGTGTCTGCACAGCACAGACGCAGACGGGCGCAGGGTCGGCTCTGGGTCGAGCATCATCTTGGACATGCGGACGGACAGTGCTTATCGGCATTTGCAGGTCATAGCATTAGCATTTACCACTAAAGCCCTCAGAAAACAAGAACCAAGCATCCCATGTCTGTTTAGTGATTTTTGGGGTGTGGGGGCGGGAAGGAGGAGGTGAGGGTACCTGGAGGAGGCTGTGGAAACCAGCACTGAGCTCCTGGGGGAGGGGGGGCAGCTGGGCCTGCCGTAGCCTGTGCCACTCGTCTCCGTTCTGAGGAAGCGGAGGAGCACCTGCTGCTAGGAGTACAGTCAGACCCAGGGCGAAAATGTCCGCTCTGGGAAGGTGAGTGAAGTCCTGCTTAATTAGGGCAGAAATTATGGATTCATGAGGGTCTGGGAACTAGCCAAACAGATTACAGGGTCAACACGATGCCCAGCCACGGCGGGAAGGCGTACCTCATGGAGAACCTCGCTGGCCAGGAAGCGGCTGTCCCCTTCCTCTACCTGGGGGCTGCCGATTGAGGTCACGTGACCCAAGTCACCTGACGACCACACAGAACCATTTCCCGATTGTCAGAGCACATATCACAGTAGAGTCTCGCTTATCCGACAGAAACGGGCCGGCAGAACGTCGGATAAGCGAAAATGTTGGATAATGGGAGGTGTTAAGACAAAGCGTATTAAATGTCAAACAGTGACAGTGAGTGAGCGAGGGTGGGGTGAATGACAGACACATGAGTCATAGTGTAGACGGGTGTGCCACTGTACAGTGGCGGGGTAACTAATTAGCTGCGGTGGAGTCGGGAGCAATAAAAAACAAACTGCGCTCACAACTTGCAGTTCTTTTTGCAGATTGATGTGGTTTTTTTTTTTGCGGTGGGACATCGGATAATGTCGGATAAGCGAAACTCTACCGTACACATACCAATGGAACGAGCTTCATAGAATTGGAAGTGTTTAAAATCTATCCAAGCGAGTCTGGAGGAAGGTACCGATTTTATAAATGACTCTCTCCGTGCAGCCTTCCTCATCTTCCTCCTCGCTCACACTCTCGGAGCTCAGAGTGGATTGGCGGCAGATGAAGATATTGCCTACAAACGGATTCATGATTTTAAAAAAATGGGCTTCATTACATTGGGTTTGTGTCCCTGTGTGTGTACATGCATTTGAGACTCACTGGGTTTGATGTCCAGGTGGACCAAACCAGAGCTGTGGATGTACTTGAGACCCATGGAGACCTGTAGTAGCAGATCTCTCAGCTCGAGCTCCACGAACAGCAACCCCTGTCGTTTCTTCTCTGTTATGGCATCACTGAGACTTCCTCCTGGACAGCAGAGGCAAAGGGAAGGCGGTGCCACTGGATGCCATGTCTGTCACTGCCACGTCCCCAAGCAGGTGTCCAGACCTACCATCACAGTACTCATTCTGGATGATCATGTGATCATCCTCCGCCCATGCCGAGTAGTAACGCACCACGTGGAGGTGATGACCCAACACTGCATGTGCATAGACCTCCTTCAGGGCCAGCTGCCTGTGAGCAGGAGGACAGTCATGACTAAAGACCTTCTTGCATGCCAGGTTCTGAGATGCCAAGCAACCACTCAAAGACAAAGGACATTTTAGCAAGAGACCTTCCTGCTAATAAAATCAGCAGCCAGACTGCAGACCACATCCCAGCATGACTGTTTCAATAAGATCCATCACTAATGGGGCTTTTCCACTGCCACCAAGAACTGATCCGTACCAGAGCTGTAACCGCACTGATTGGTCGAAATGCACTGAGATACCAGTGTTCTCTGAATGGATTATCTGAAGGAAAAAACATATTATTCATTATTAGTAGCAGGGCACATCGCAATGCATTCCCGAAAACTCGGAACTTGAAAATTTCCATTCTCCTACTTAAAAAAGTACTATAGAACAGCTGAACAGAATGGATTCGTAATTCAAATTTATGCAGCGAATGCTAATTCCGTTAGTGTTCGATACTTGCATAATGTGGCAATTCTCACAGATGTACTAATGGGAATTAGCATAGTAAAATAATAATAATAATTGCACACAGTAAATCATAATGTACACCGTGTGAACAGTGAATAAGCTTCTCCTTGGTTTTACATCGCTGTTGCTCTCCAAGCCTGGCAACGCCTTTACCAAGTTCACCCATCTGCAGTGGAAAACCGAAGCGAGCTGGAACCGCGCTGTAACTAGTCCCTCTTAGCGGTACGGCTCAGGTATGGGTTGGTTCCTGTATGTCAGTGGAAAAGCGCCAATGTCCCACTTTGTAAATTTTCCCCTGTAAAAATTAGGATTCTCTGCTTAAAAACACCCCACACTCAGAAAACTATTTTGTTGTGTTTACAAGGGACAGATGGAACCACAAGGAAGTTATGCTCTGTGAAGTAATGAGACCAATGCTAAGCTAATGAGACCAATGCTAATCTAGCAGGACGAAAGCTAAGCTAACTACCCAACCCACAACAAGGACTCACTCGTCAGCTGATCCGGCCAGGGGCCGGCGGGAGCGCTTGATGGCATACAGGCAACCATCCAGCCTCTTCACACACTTGTAGACTGTGCCGAATTCCCCGGTGCCAATGCGGCCCAGCTCGAGGAACTCGCTCTCGTAGCGTGACAACATGGAGGCCTGCACAGCCAGTCTCTGCAGGTGGGGTTTGGAGGGAGTCACAGTCAGTCAGTCAATCCGTCAGCAAGAAGAACGCGGTTAAGGGACGCAGGCCTCTTGGCTCGTTTTACGGAAACTCAAGCTTGACAAGAGCACTGAAATCTCAGCTTTTCAGTCTGCCCAAATTCAATGGTTTCTTTGGGGCCCATCCCCTCCCCTCCCCTCCATTTTAAAGATTTGGACAGAATATTGATCAGCTGCCAGCCTTGCAAAGATTTGTGGGACTAGCATTCACTAAACTTAAGGGAGGGGTCAGTAGGGGTGTTTCACCTTCTCCTAAAGAAAGAAATGGATGGAATCTGACCAAATTCCCACTGAACCATAACATACTGCGAGATTTTATACCTTAGAGGGAAGAAAAGCCTCATCCTCTGATGAATTACCATCCGTCTTCTCTCTGGGGGAAATGGAGCATAGCGCTTATTGGCCAGGATCCATTATTCAGCAAAATGATACTTTATAGCGATAGCAGCTTAAAGGACCTCAGGGAAACTGCAGGAATGATGCAAAGGCAAAACAACACCCAGCACGCGGTCTGGCTACCTCAGCTGGCTGACTTCATCATCCTCATCGCTACGGCTCTTCCGCTTGTGCTCCCCACTACGGCGGAACGTGTTGGGGGTGAAGGGGTTCACGTTGACTGACGGCATGTGACCTTGACGGGTGGGGTCAGAGGCACTAGTGAAACGCAGGACCCTGTGACACAGTTTCCCGTTGGAGCTTGGCAGGGCTGACTTGGACAGCAGGCTCTATAGAGGGCATTAAACACGTCACGCACGTTATCTTTAGGGTGGAGCTATACTGGTCGAAACCATTTTTAATAGTTTGCATTTGCACGGACTTTGGGTGTGCTGGGCGAGTCGCACAGCCTGAGTTTCCTCCAGGTGGCGTAGTGCAGGGGGGTGCTGGAATTGGCGGGGGAGTCCGGCACGCTACGTGCGCAGTGGCGCGCGGTCTGCGGGGTCCTGCAGGCAGGGCCGGGGCTCCGCGCGCCCGGGAGCCCCCAGTCCCAGCTGTTGTCGCTGCTGTCTTCCTCGCAGCTGGAGTAATCGAGCTGCTGCACCGTCCTCTCCCTCACGTTGGCCACTTCCATCACTGCCATAACGGGGGAGGCACAAGCGACTGTAACAACGCACCTTCCCGGACAGGACGATTCATCTACGCTGATTCCGCAATGTTTATTTTAAGGTCCAACAAAATGAACGCAGGAATTTGCATTTTATAAGAGGAGCCGCTTGCAATGTAAAGCCCCTGCCTGTCTGATCGGCCTAACTGCCTTTGAGAAATATGGCTTAATTAGCGTTTTATGAAGGCCTATGCGTGAGATATTTTGGGACGTTCGTTTTAGTGCATAAAAGTTAAGACTCGGCATTATCTCAGCCGACTGCAATTACACACAGACGGGAAAAACAGGAAAAAACAAAAGTTGAGAAGTGCAGTTCCTAATCAAGTAATTTTAAAGTAAACACCTCTTTCCATTTGACGATGGAAGTAACTCCGTATTCGGACTACTTAAGCATTTCAGATCACGTTTAATAAAAGAATCTACCTTCGCGTTTGGATCCGTGCATGTGGACGGCGATTTGTACTCTTGTTAGTACCTACTCACTGCGGAACTCCAACAAGCTTAAATTTCCCGCGAAGTTCGGCTGAACGGAGCCGGATCCTTTTAATTAACTGGACGTCAGACAGATGGTCCCGCCCAGCGAGCTGCTGCACCTGAGCGGCCCGGCCGGCCCGTCGGGTGCGCTATTGGCTAATGTGTAACATACGGGAACAACAAAATAATAAAAATGATACGTACTACAGATACATATGGATTAGAACACACGACGCGTGGCCATTTCATTTAAAGTACCAATAACAGACATTGCAGCGGGTAATATAATATGCATGAGCGGCAGGGGGCGCTCGTCCGGCGCCTCCATCGCGCTGCGCACTAACATCCGGCAGGTCGGCGCACCGTATCTTTGTAACCGGCCATACTTAGGCGGACGGAGATCGGGAGAACCGACGCCGGATCCAGTAATGTAGCAGCTGGTTGATTCAGAGAAGACTCCGTTTATTTAATGCGATCGCCTTTGCTGGTTGGCGCGCCGCAATAGCGAGGTTGTAGCTTAGCTGCGACACATTCGTTTCTCTCGGCTTGTTTTCTCGTGTTATCTGGATATCAGAGGACAGGTCCCGGTGACGATGGTGGAGCAGTCGGACCATGCTCCGCTGCTCGACTGGGAGGAGGTTCCGTCGGGGGAGCCGCCGACTTTGGCTCCCAGGCAGAGGGATGAGTCCGAAGCAGGTCCCGCTAACTGCAGGTCGGGGGGCAGTACCGCCCCTGGCGCCGGCTGGACTGCGAGCACCGGGGGTCCGGTGCCTGTCCCGGGTGTCGGTGGCGGGGAGGCAACCACCTGTGCAGGCTCCGTGTATAACGGATCGGGATGGGAAAATAAATGCCCTGCTAAGGGAGATGGCACGCTTTCTGGATGGGGAGCGGTGTCCGACAAAGACCGCAGACTGTCTGAGTGGGAGGAAAAGGACCAAATCGTGGCTGTTTTTGTGGTAACCTTTGATACACGATCAGGTGAGTAAAGGGGATCTTACATAAAACTTGCTAAAGATGCAGTGGGTATCTCCATAAACGGTTAGGCTGACTATACCTCACAGCGGAATCTACAGATCAGTAGTCAATTAACCTGAAATTGTCAGTATGTTTGTCTTGCGTAGCTCGTATGTTTATCTTTTGTGTTTTATATATAGTATGCTTTTTCTGTGACCTTTGTTGCCCCTCTTGTTGCTGTGTTTATCTGTCTAAAACAAACTCAGCAGTTGCTCCAGGGTGCCACGACTGTCTAGCTGATCACGAGCCCAGTAACTAAACACCAAAGCAACTGTTATTGCTCTCGGAATGGTTACTGGGTACAGTGGGGTATTGTAACGCGGTGCAGTGTGAGAAAGGGACATAATCTATCTGTTTGGTTTGCCTGGAGATGCATTACATGTTTTGCTTGGATTATAAATAGCCGCCGCTCGTCAGCGTGCCGGATGCCGGACCCGCGGTGACCGAACCTTTGCCAGGTGGAAGGGCTTTTCCACGTGAGCTGCGCCTCAGCTCGTGCCCAGGACGTTGTGACGTCGGGGGGAACCGAGGCCACGCGACCGACCGCAGCTGCGAATTGCACTCGCGCGTTGGCTAAATACCTGTGCGCGTGCACGCGCGCGGGGGCGTGCCGCGTTTCCCGAGGGAGCCGAGTGACTCAGGCGTCACGGGACGCCATTCCAGTTATCAGATCTCTAGCTCTCCGATCCATTACTCCGCCTTTCATTTTTAATGAGGGAGACGCGCCGACGTCTGGACGTCAGATTGTTTAATGACTTCTTCATTCACGGCCACTTACTGTGCTCACTGTAGGACGCATCAGTTGTTTAAAACATTTTAAATCATAGGCCACTTAAATCCTCAGTGGTGTAGGTGTGCCACATTTTGAAAATTACTTTTCATATATTTACAGGACAGACTCTCAAGGTGACTTGTACTCACTAGTGCGTCTTGCACCCTTTCCTTACCCTCCTCCTTGCACGATTAGCACTCGACCGCAGAGGGCCTAATTGGAAAGGTTTGAAAGGAATGGATTGGGTTTCACATTTTAATTAAAAGCTGCAAATTCAAATGCAAATGATCACCCAGATACTGGTACTATTTTGCTTTGTCTTTTGTACTTGATATGCTGTGCAGGACATGTGTCGATCTCCTAGCTGGTCCGACAGGATCTCTGGCATGACTGTGCGGAGCTGTGTGGTCTCTTCCCCCCCTCCCCCGCCTCTTCATAATGGACCCGCCTGGCCCGTAAAAGCTGGCCTTCATGCTCACTGTGCTGAAGGAGAGCACTGCACATCGGTGTGACGTGTGACAAATGGAGACCCCAGGATTGCGTTTGATTTTATCCCCTAACTTCCCTTTTCATTTGCGTGTGATTGTGAAGTTACTCTGAAAAGTGTTTGAGGGAACGGCGGAGGGGGTTTCCTGTGTCTGATGGGTGCCTTTGACGTTGGGTAATGATGGGCTGCGTTTTGCTCTGTGCTGCCCTGATCTCCGTATCATGGCTGTGCTCATTGTGCTGACAGGAAACATGGTGGAGTGGTGTTTGCCCCCAGATGTGAACCTGGAAGGGGTGGAGTTCAAGTCGATGGCCAGCGGCTCCCATCGAATCGCCAATGACTTCATGTAAGGGCCCCCCTTCCGGAACACGCACGCACCGCATGCCACTCCACAGCCACCCACCAATCTCCCCCCCCCCCCCCCCATCTCTTTCTAGATATTTCCGGAAGGGCTGCTTCTTTGGCCTGGCGTGTTTTGCCAACATGCCCGTGGAGAGCGAGCTGGAGAGAGGCGCGCGTATGAAGTCTGTGGGCATTCTAACCCCGTCCTACACCCTACTGTATCGTTACATGCATTTCCTGGAGAACCAGGTCAGGTGGGTGACACTCTCCCCTTGCCCTCCCCTCTTCTGGTCCACATCGCTGTTTCTTCTGTCTTTCCAGCACAGCTACCAGCTCAGGAGTCCATGTTAAACTCCGGTGCCTTTGAGGCGAAAGTCTGCCACACGAATCGGTTCATTTGGGCCTTGGCTTGGTCACTGGATCACAGGCAGTTGAAAGCTGGCTTGCGCAAATTTTACTTCTTAAAACCACCATGGAATAATGGAAAACCAGCGTTAGAAATGATCAGGGAATGGGGGGCACAGAATAGGAGGGACCTTTTAGAAGAGTTTAGGCAGACTGACTGACGGTAGACACCTGCATAGATGGTCACGGTTTACAAAAAAAGTTTTTGCACCTTCATATTTCCAGCAGAAACAAATGTCTCTGATCTAGTTAAGTGGAAGTTTGTTCAGATATTTCTTGTGAAAATCATTCCAGGTATATAATGCACATCATGATAAGGTAAAATTGTCTTTAACTGCAAAATAATGCAGTTCATACAAATAATGACTGTGGCTGGTGTCGAAATATTTGTTTAGTGTCTTAATCACACCATAAAATCGATACTGAGCTAATTTTTGTTTACTTTTCAGTGCAGACTGTGTGCCTTTGAGCAGTGACTCAGATCCGAGGTCTTGACCATAGCTTCATCCTAGATCGCCAGGTGTCAATAAAGACCCCTGACTACCCCATGGCTCTTTTTACATAGGCATCAGCTTCAGTGTCCGGGACAGTACTCGCCACTGGAGGCCTTCTACGAGGACAAGAAGGCGGTGCTGCCTCTGGGAGGGAACGGCCTGGTCACTACCTGTCCTACCAGCACCTCCACGGCGCCCCCTCATGGCCGCTGTTGCATGAACCCAGAGATGAAGGTGGGTGCCGAATTTTACTGTCGTATTTTTATGTTCAGCAGTCGGACTGATGGCTGTATCCAGAGATTTTCCTGTCAACACGGTTCAGTGTATTTCAATCCTACTGGGATTGACCTGGCGATTGACCGA